TGTTATCTATAATTCGTCAAGCTATCTTGACACTTATATCAATTACTAATAGGCTTCTTCAATAATCTACATCAAGCAACACAGATCCTTACTGTCTAAAAAAAAACTATCGAATTTTTAAGTACGACATTTCAGAGATAGAATGATGCGATGAAATGTTCTTGTTTTTTCAATTATCAATAGCTCATGAATTCACTTCAGTGACTATTTGGGATAAAGAATTTAATATTTCAGAATGATTGTTTTTCAAACTTTCTGAGCAAGATTATATAACTATTATTAAATGGATGCCCTGAAAAGAATTTGAACTTTTAGCATATTACTCCGCAGATTCTCATTTTTGCGATATTTTTTAAAAGAATGTTAAGATGCAAATTCTGACAAGATCTGAAATATTCACAAAACACTATTCTCGTTAATGCCTATTTCTATGCAAAGTTTCAAGTCGAAATTCGGAAATTAGTTTTTTTGCTATGACGCTATTCATTTAAAACACTACCATTAAAAGTGCGGCATCTCCGTAGCAATAAGCTAAGTGCACGAAGTGTTTTTTCTGGAAATTCATAGTTCATTTCATCTATTGAATCATATAGTTTTCATTCTGTATTTTAGTGATAAACTTTGAACAGTGATTGATCATAGATTTTTTTCCTTCGAAAAGGATTAGAATCATTTTCAGTTAATTTCTTTGTTAATTATCATTCATTTTAGCTATAAAAATATTTGAGTTCTTTTTTCTTTCATAAAAATATATATAACTTCATAGAACATAGATTCTCCTATTGATGCTTGTAATTTACGTTATTTCTTATGAATAGATTTTGCAGAAAAGCATTAGAAACTTATTTTTCATAAGTGTAAATAGCTAAAAAATTCAATTATCTCGAAAAAATCAAATTAACTTTGTTCAATGTGTTATGCATATTTAAGTTAGATAAATCTTTTCCATTGGGAATAATTTTAGTGATTAAAGAATATCGTTTCATTGATTCTCAAAAATGTACGATGTCTTTAGACAAAAAATAAGAAAAACAAAACGATCATTCTATTGTTCAGTAGATCAATGAACATTCTGTTCAATCATATCGAAATAATAAATGTTCGAAAGTTTTCGAAAAATACGACCAACTAATCGAAACCTATCACAAAATATGGTAATTAACAACTTACAAAAGTGTCGTATGTTCTTGTTTTACATGAGTACTACAGTTTGCTATGAACTTAATAATCTAGCTTATCAGTTTTGAAACGTTGAGTTTGTATTTAGTATAACAAAACTATTATTTGTTGATCGTTGATGTTATGACCAACATCTTGTTCCGATACAGTCATACGTATTTTTCCCTCTTTCTCTACATAGTTATAGGTGTACATATATGTTATTCATCTTTTCTTTGTTGTGTTAGTCATGCACTATGAAATTTTCCTCTCTTATTATATGTATATATATATGATGGACTTTCCCTTTCCTTCTTTCTTTTATGTTGTTCTATGGATTTTCCTCATGCTATCACCCTATATATATAGCCATTACATTGCTGTTAAAGCAAGAGACATATATAGTGGTATCCAAATAAAATATAAGTAGGATTAAGATCTCACCGTTTATTCAGTAATTATTTCGCACTATGACTATATATATTTAAGACTGTTCTCCCATTCTCAAAAATTGATCTTAGGCCAGGTACAGCAAATTTCAGCCATGTACCATGATATTTTCGGAAGATATTCAACAAACAAGGTTCACAAATAGCTACTTTAGCAAATCCAAATTCTTTGTGAGTCTCCATTCTATATACTTAACCTTTTTCTGTTGAAAGAATACGTCAGAATGCAAGGCATGACAAAGCTCCTTTTCTTTTCTAAATTCTGACGTTTTAAGAAGAGAAATGTTCAATATCTCAAAAATGACGTTCTAATTAAAACAGTCTTATTTTTTCTAATGGTAACAGAGCTTAATTCAAAAAAAACTAGATCTGTCATGTCCTGTGTCTTGACATGATCTTTCAAACAAAAAAAAGTCATTGACGATGACGAAACTCTTTCGAGAATTCTGAAAAGCACGATCAAAAAACAACATAATCAAAGAAAAAAAGTGAAAGAAATTTTCCATTTTATTTGAAACGAGAATAACAGAATTCTTTGAAAACAAGGTGCCAAATAAAAAATCATGTCATTTATGAAAGATCATGCCTCGGACTATCTTTTTATACGTTTATCTCAATTTTCATGTTTTTCACAAAAATTGGATTTTTTTTGTTTTTAGAGAAACAAGACTTAATGTAATTTTGTTTAATTTTTATTATTGAATTCTAGTTATTAGACGCTTTCGAATATTAAGACGTGTTATTCTTATTAATGACAGTCTTGGCGAATGACATAAAGTATTTCACATGCATATGAATAATCATGTGATAAAATACGATAAATATTTTGATTGTTGTTGTCTGATGAGTGTGCAGCAATTTGTGTGAAAAATTTTTATGCGAATAATACTAATGCTTGTGCAAGATTTTATGAAAGAAATAAACCTGTCTTCATATCATTGGTTTGTGTAGTCAAATGTTCTTAATAAAATTATATAGTCTGAATATTCTTGACATTTTTCAAAAATGATTTAAACAAAAAGAAAATTGATTTTGTTTTACTAAAATAATTGCAATAGTATTTTTTCTTTTACTCAAATTATCAATTACAAATAATTTATGTTAATTATTCAGGCAATTGATGATGATTCAAATCAAACAGGTCAACTAGTTGCTGGTCTCCTTTCTTGGCCGCAAGTAAACCATAATAATTAAAACCTAAAGAATTTCTTCATTGATTTTATTTTTATTAGGCTCTATTTGCATCAAAAGTTGACATTAAAGATAAAAAAGCTGAAGTCATGCGTGAAATTGATGGTGGATCAGAGACAGTACGCATGAAATTACCTGCTGTGATTACTACTGATCTTCGTCTTAATCAACCACGTTTTGCTAATCTTCCATCAATACAAGTAAAATTTTCATGGTAAAGAAAAATAATTCTATTCTTTTGTTTTTTATAGAAAGCTAAGAAAAAACCAATGGCGAAAATGTTACCGAATGATTTAGGTGTTGATATTAAACCACATCAAGAATATTTATCCTATGAAGAACCACCTAAACGACAAGGTGGTGGTCGAGTATCAAGTGTTGATGAACTTCTTAGTAAACTTAAAGAAAAAGGACTCGTTTAAAACAATGCTTCTCCTTTTTTTTATTATTACGCCACAACCATTTGATTTTGAATAGCGAAAAAATTCTTTTTTTTTCAAAATATAGATTAAGATTCTAAAGATTTCTTCTAGATTCATTAACTGACATTTCCTACAAATATTGAAATAGAATGTCATATGAACAGGCCGTAAATCCGCTTCGAAAGTTTAAACTTGTTTTCTTAGGTGAACAAAGTGGTAAGAAAATGAAACAAAGATAACAGATAGTTTCATTTTAATATTTTTTAGTTGGAAAAACTTCATTGATTACTCGTTTTATGTATGACAGTTTTGACAACACATATCAAGTGAGCCTTGATTTTCGTCGAGAATTATTTTTTTTAATTTTTAGCATATTTTAAATTAAGGCTACAATTGGTATAGATTTCCTTTCTAAAACTATGTACTTAGAAGATCGAACTGTTCGTTTACAGTTATGGTAAGATTTATCTAGCCATATATATAGCTATTTGAGTTTATCTTTTTGATTAATATAGGGATACCGCAGGACAAGAAAGATTTAGGCATGGAATAAAATGTCTTCCCAATTAATTTTCTAATATTTTTCATTTTTTAGAAGTCTCATTCCTAGTTACATACGTGATTCTACTGTTGCTGTGGTTGTTTATGATATAACAAGTAAGGATATTTGATATGATATTGAAAAATATGACTTTTAACTTCATTAGATGCAAACTCATTTCAACAAACATCAAGATGGATTGAAGAAGTTCGTTCAGAACGCGGTACTGATGTTATTATAATGCTTGGTAAATATTGTTAAAATAATTTGTCAAAAAAAATCTGATTTTTATGTTTTAGTGGGTAATAAAACTGATTTAGCTGATAGAAGACAAGTGTCAACAGTAGATGGTGAAGAAAAAGCAAAAGAGTTAAATGTTATGTTTATTGAAACAAGTGCTAAAGCAGGTTACAATGTTAAACAGGTACTATTGACTTATATATTGCCTATTGATATAATATGAACATGGGTTTGCGCTCTTTTTTTTTGTTTTAAAGTTATTCCGACGAGTAGCTGCGTCTTTACCTGGTATAGATGGCCCTGATTCGGCACCTCGAGGAGGTAGGAGTAATAATGTTAAGAAATTTGTATTTTGTTTTTTTGTTTGTTTGTTTGTTTCGTTTTATTTTAGAAGATAAAGTGATAGTTTCACCTGTTAATCCAATAGATGAATCAAAAACTAATAATCAAAGCTATTGTCGATGTTAATCAATATATGATAAACACTGAAGACAAAAAAGAAGATATCTCTAATTGGTTTTTTTTCTCATTATTATTGAATATTGCTTGTTGTTTTTGTTTTTACTTATATTTTTTTATCATGAACAATAACAGCAAATTTTACAAAATGCTTTTTTTTTTAATTCTCTTCTTTTATTTGAGCTTATTTTGGGAAAGAAATCTTGTTTTTTTTCCTCAACAAATCAAAAGGAATAAAATAACACAGGTTTTCACTTTTAATGTTATTTAAAGTTTCTTTTTTGTTTGTAAAATAAAATATTATTTGTGTGCATCTGAATTCATAATCTTCTTTTTCTTTTTTGTTTTTAAATAAAAATCAAAATATTAACATACGTATATGCGTTGGTGTTAGTGATGATATGAGAGACATCGGACCATAATCGAAATATGAAGGTATAATATTACATATGCTATTATTCTCATGATAAAAGGATTAGTGTATTGATTTACTAATAAATTTCGGCATTTTCTATTGATTCTCACAATTAAACGAGTCTCATGTCATCAGTTTTTTCATATTCATTGATTATTTTCGGTGCTCTTATTTTAGGTAGGTTAATAATTTTCATACATAAAAATCCAAGTCATTTTGATTTATTTGTAGGAGTACTTTCTTCTAATCAAGGTTCAGTTCGAATCTGTAATCAAGGAGCATATGTAGCTAAATGTGGTCTTAATTCACGAACTGCCGATGGTCGTACTCGTTCTTATGAAACTGGAAAATTTCTAGCTGGTCAATGCTCGACGCTTGAACTTCCGTTTGAAGCCATATGGGGTGAAGTTTGGTGTGACAATTATGTCTTCATTGCTGCTACTAAACGTATTTTTAGAGAAGAATTTAATGCTCCCTCTGTTCGTTGCTATCAAATTACTGGAACAACAATTCATCCAGGAATGAGTGGACCACATTGTTAATTAATACAAAGAAAAATTAATTATTCAATTTGTTTTTTTTTCTTTTTCACATGCTTTTTTTTCAGTCTTAGAAGAAAATAAATGAACGGAAGCAAGACTCGACATACATAAAATGAGAAAGAAAGAGAAAAAAAATAAGGAAATACAATAAAATTATTTAAAACGAACAAATAATTGTTCAACACGATTTTTAAAAGATTTTAATAATCCAAAATTAATTCGACTATCACTATACTCTGAATCCGAACGTGTTGTTGTTGCTGATGATGATGTTAAACGACTCCATCGTCTTGGATGATGAAAACTAAATTCTATTCCAGCTATAGAATCTTGTCGTTGATCAAGTGACCATTTACCACTAAGTACAAGTTCATATACATCATTATTACCAAAATCTTGTAAAAATGTATCACGATCACTATTTGTATTATTTTGTGGTATGGGCATGTAAAAATATTTTGTACAAAAACAACATAACAAACGTGTTAATTCACGACGAAAGCGTTTACCAAAAAATATATATAAATAGCATTGTGATGCAGAATTAAATATCATTAAAAATTTACCGAACTCATCTAAATGTTGAAATGTTCGATAATGATACGATATAGTAACATATTTATCTGGATCATAAGCAAAAAACGCAGCAAATGGTATGGACGGCATTATACAAACAAGATAAATCGAAATAACAATAACAAGCATATATGTTACATCATTACGTTTTTGTTCATGAGGATTAATTTGTCGATGACGTCGTTTAGTTGTTGAAAGTGTATGTATAAGATGTAAATTTAATTTAAATACAACAAGAAATGGTATTATACGTACAAGAAAACAATTAACAAATAATGTTATTGCTAAACGATATGCTAGTGATTTACCTATTTCACTTAAACCAGATACCCAAAATGTAGTTGAAAATAATTCAGTTTTATTTGAATAAAAATAATTATTATAATCAATTGATAAATTCAAATGATCATTTGTTTTATTGTATGAATTTCCACTTGGCATAGCATGACATGAATTTGCTAATATTTGTGGTATTACATATGCTAATGTCAAAGAAAGGCATAGAATCAATACAAACAAAGCATTACGACGTGTACACAATTTTTCACCAGTAAATGGAAAACAAATCATAATATATCTATCAACCGTAAAACCAACTGTTATCCTTAAACAAAAAAAGAAACAAAAGTAAAATTTTATTTTTTATTATTAAAAGAATGTTATATGTACCAAGTTGATAGAGCAAATGTGCTTGAAGCAAATGCTTTTGCTAATGAAACTAGTATACAATTAAAACGACTTGGTGTAAATAATATTTCTAGCTCAAATATAATTCCCGATAATAATGTAACACTATTTGATAAGCATAACGCTGTTAAATAAGCATAAGTTGAAAGAGTACGCATTCGTCGACGAAGTAATGTACAAACAGCTAATATATTACCTGATTCAAACAAAAATATTAATATTATTATTGAATTAAAGAAAAAAAAAGAATAAATAAACTTACCAATAATACCTATTGTACAAACAGATATTGTTAACCATCGAAAAGATGATCGCGGTAACCATGTGCCTAATCCACCATCATATAAAATATCATTCCATGTTAAATCAAATGATTCTTCAACATGTAGAGATAAATCTGACGATGATAATTTATTTTTTGTTATATTTATATGATTGATTTTGTTAATTGTATTATTTATTAACATAGTATTAGAAACCATATTTTGAATAAAATTTGGTTTTTTGTTTACTTCGATATAAAAATAGAATAATATAAATAAAATATTGTTCGTGTTCTTAGTTTTTTTTTTTTTTTTCTTTTCGATGTAAAGAAAACCGGCTGTTACCAAAGAACGTAGATCATTTTCATTGACGAAAAATAATCAACTATGTAACAGATTGCTCGAACTTGATCAAGTTTCTAAAATAATTTAGTATAAATATCAATTTATCATGATTATTAATTTCTTTTTTCAGATGATAGAGAAAAAAAAATAACCTTCTATATATGAAAGACATTTGAGAATATTTTTTTCTTTGTTCTTATAATATTAATAATTATAATTCTGATGAGCGAAAAGGAAATTGAAATCTCTGTTAAAGACAAACACTGAGTAGATCTATTCTCATTTCTTTTTTTTTTGTTATTTTCTTCTATCCATTTTTTTTAATAATAGAACGCCGGATTAGCTAAGTTGAATGAGAAGAATATAACATACTTAATAAAACAGCCCATGTTTCTTTTTTTTTTTTAATGTGATACAAAACAAAAAAAAAGATGCTTGGGTGTTTTTTTCTTCTTGTACTCTTTTCTAAGTTCAAAACTGTCATGTCAATTTTTTTCAGTCTTTCATTGGATACTTTATTTTTTTCTACTGTCTCTATCTTTTTCTCTGGTGTTTTTATATTATTTTACATATAATCTTTATTAATTAAAAGTTATTCATTATTATTGATAGATATTAATGTATAGGCGTTAGATCCGATAACATAAAAGATAGATATTTTTAAATACTGATAAATAGCGAGTTAGAAATAACAAACTATGAATCGAAAAGAAAATTTAGAAAAAAAGACTATATTTGTTCCCTTTCTATCCACTTTACAGATCTTTTTTTTTATTAAGTTCTCTTACCAGCTTTGTCGAACTGCCTTGAATTATTCTTAAGTTGACTTTTCTCGTTTGTTTCTTAATTATTATGACTTTTATCTTGATTCTCCTATTTTATTTATAAAAGATGTTGCTAAGATGAAATTGTCTTTTATCTTTTTGTTTCTTTTCTTTCAGGTCTCTCCTTCCCATCTTTTCCTTTTTCCAAAGAAATGAGCGAGTTGGAACAGAAAAAAATATGTGAAAAGATAAAGAATCGTATGCATCAACTAAACTATTTTTAGAATATCAGCTCATCTATAAGTCGTGCATAATAGACATTCACGTATTCTATAAAACCTAATTATATCATCAAAAGAGAATTATTTTTTCTATTTTTAATACTCATTTTTTTCTATTTGTTGATTAGATGAACTGATCATACCTGTAGAAAGGAAAAGATGACAAAATAAAAATCTTTCTAAGTATAGATTATATGTTTCAGGTATTATTTTCGATCTCTAAATTTTTCTCAGTCAATTAATTTACTTACAGAACTTACTGTGCTGGTTTCTCTCATCTGAAAATATTTTTATGAATAATAATCATGCTAACACACATATAGATATAGATATATATAAATACAAGACAAAAAATACGCCTAATTCCACTTCCTTTGCATTTCTATTCGGCATGACTGATGAAAATAAATACTTAGAAAACATCGTTACCACTGTTGCGGATGATAGACTATTTTTAGAAGATCGTAGTCAATGTAATTAGAATTGAAAAGAAAGATTTTCTTAATGAGACACATGCATATAAATACAAGATGAATGATGTGAGAGAATCGTCTGTTCTTCTGCTTTTACCTGTAGAAAGTTTCTCTCTGTCTCTGTTTCTCTCCGTCGCGTTCTCTCTCTCCCTCCCCTCTTTTATGCTTTCTTTGTCGATGTTTCTTCCGGTCGTCTAACAGCAACTATGAACTTGAAGATATTTTTAGCCAACTATTTTTTCTATTTTTAATACTCATTTTTTTCTATTTGTTGATTAGATGAACTGATCATACCTGTAGAAAGGAAAAGATGACAAACTAAAAATCTTTCTAAGTATAGATTATATGTTTCAGGTATTATTTTCGATCTCTAAATTTTTCTCAGTCAATTAATTTACTTACAGAACTTACTGTGCTGGTTTCTCTCATCTGAAAATNTGTAACTGTTCGTAGAAAAATTATGTTAATCAGATTCCTTTGAAATTAAAATGTAGGAAACATATTTTAAAAAGTCTTACGCTGTCTTAAAGTATCTTAGCGATTAAGATATTGATAGGCTAGCTTTAACAAGAGAAACCGTCAGCTATGTTGATTTGGATGATTATTGTTTGTAATTATTTACTCACAAAAGATAACGATAGAAATTTCAGAATAGCTCAGTAGGTAAACAGCTGAATCTTGGAATCCTGAAATTCAGCAGAATCCAAGAGAATTCTGAATTTCAGGATTCAATAGTATTCTACAGAATTTTGTAACATATAATAGGGAATTCATAGAAATCCAGGATTCCGCTATGTATCACTTGTCATGGCCTCATGTGACATATAAGTTCTTCTCAACTTTGCACGTCTTTCAAAGTTTAAGGATATTTTGTGAAGTCTTGCAAGTCATGTGAAGTGTTTAAATCTCTTTGAAGCCTAAAAAAATCTGTATTTTTGGAATCTTTTGAAATCCACTCTTCCCATTTCATTTCGTTTTTCCAGAAGTAGCATCGTGATTAAGTTTAAAAGACAGATAATAAAAATGATTGGTAACTTATAATCTCGTCTTATCAGTCTTACTATGTATGAGAGAATCACGAGACACTTCGCGGTATTTTCGAAGCGATCTCTTTACATCATAGTTTATAACGTTGTAAAAATCGAAAGAAAAATTTTCTTAGAACGTACCGATTCTAAACCATATATGAACCCTAAATCTTCTATCTAATGAGCGCTCTCCGTTAGAATCGCATGAAAAAATCTACAGCAGATTTGTTCGTTTAGAAAATAGCTACAAAAAGAATGTCGTCTTGTCTAAATTGTATTTGAGAGTCAAAAAAAAAAATCAATGCGATTTTTCATCTTACGATATATAAACAAATCTATTCCGCGATCAATTATTCGAAGCCGAACTAACACATGTGATTCTAGTTTTCAATGCAAACTGTTATTGAATGATGAGTTTGTTACCCTACATCTGCTTATCAGAACTATGATTTTGGAGCTCAAATAAATGCGTGTAACTTCCGAGTCATGAGCTTTTTCAGGAGCGACCACTACATTATTATTAGAAAGTTTTGTCTGATCAGAGAGTTTGACTAACTCTTGATCTATTGCTTCTTTTAGCTAG